AGCAGCGATATTATTCATAAATAAAACTTCAACTCATATAATAATCTCCACCAATATATTCTTAGAAAAAAATACTCATCACCAATTATCAATCAAATTACACCAAAAATCCTTTCATATTTTCCAAAAACCCTATAAAAAAATCATGTATATCCATTCCATCCAGAAAAATATTATCTCAATAATTTATAAGAAATTCACTAAACCAACATCAATCATTTAGTTCTCTTAATAAATAATTAGCAACTCATTCTCAATTCCACAGGCACACATATACACACGTTCCTGCATTTTATATATGTATTCCATATTCAACACGTATTAAATAACACTAGCGTGCTTTTATCAGTTACTTCAATCTATTAATCATATATCACTTATCTTCTTACATACTTAAATTATATATGAATATTATTTATTCCATAGAAGGATTTTTATTTAAACCATCCCCTTAGCATCAGTAACTAAATCACATCTCTAAAGAACATGGATATAAATTTTACTCATTAAACAACTTGACTTTAACCTGACTGTGAAGAACGCTGAAGGGGAAAGCAAGGAAGACTATATCAAGACATGACAGAAATTACTCCGCAGTTACATCTAGACTTATGACCTTTTGCTCTGATACCACCTTTGTCACGACCCGTTTCCGTGGGCCGGACCGGCACTAGGGCCCAGGTAAGCATAAGGCCCCCGAGGCCCGTAGTAAGCCTTACTCAACTTATTAACATATTCATACCATTTATAAAAAGTAACGCATACGACAAGGCCAATTTTAAATGCACAACCCTATAACTGCGGAGTTTTCAATTTACTATAACTGCGGAGTCCAAAAATAATCTGATAACAGAATAATTTATACATCCAAAATTAAATAACATGAATATAAAGTTTACATTTGTAACTCTGCAGAGAAGATTGCAGAGCTTCAGCCGAATCAGCTGCTTCCTAGTACCTGGAAGGTTTGTTGGGGAGGGGTGAGTTTTGCAACTCAGTGAATAATAATAAATAATACACACCACATACAGTCAAGCAAAATGCACCATAATATACTGAATGAACACACAACAGTCAATCATATGACATTACATCAGCACCCACAAACAATATCACCTTCAAATAATCACATCACGTGGAAATTAGTATAGTATATAATCATATCACGTGGAAATTGGTCAGTGGCGTCACCGAATCCCTCGATGAGCCGTCCTCTCAAACAGCCCATCCTCTCAAACATGTGCACCCGGAGAGCCAATCCCCCATATCTGGCCGACTGGTCTAATCCTCACTTGACCAGTCCTCTCAATATTTTATTTTACATTCTCTCTTTTCTTTTCCATATCAGCAACATCATTTCATCAGTTCATCAGGTGCACACGGGGGCGCCGATCTCCCATTTTTCCGGCCGACGGTCCAATTTCATCAGTTCATCAGGATCCATATTTATCGACCGTCCTCACAAGGGGTGACCCACTTCATCCCAACTCCACACAATACAAAACAGAGCACAGTATATACACAGCACAAATAATCAAACAATTCATTTATCATAATACATCAATTTCATCCAAATGCACAATTATGCATAAGTATAATTATAATGATCATAACATAATATATATGAGAAAATACAATATGTAAATATATATAAATGTAATGTTATGCAAATGCAGTGTTGACATGCATTATTTATTATTACTCACAGTAGTGGAGAACGAATCCCTAACTTTGATTTTGGTCGGAAGGAGCACTAGACGGACCCGGGCGATCTATGAAATTTAAGAATGACACAAAACAAAAGTAACTATATCAGATAACATATTTCTTTACTACTCTAAGAATTTTATTCTTAAGAATTTTATTTTATATTCTAAATTTTTCTACATAATTTAATCTCGATATTTAATTTCTTTTCTGTAATAAATTTTTATTTTTCTACCGAACTCTATTTTATTTATTTTCTTCTGAAATCTATTTTATTTCCTACCGAAATTTCGCAGCACTTCCCCTAAAATTTAACTATCCATCAATCAACTCAAGTCAATTATTTTTCAAGTTATCACAGCCCAATCCATCGGGCAATCAATCCAGTCAATTAGTCCCGTCCTCCACATGTATTCACATAAACAATATTTTGTTAATTTTTCTTTAATTTCATAAGTTTTATTGTTATCAAAATTTCCTAATAAATTTATCTAATACTAGAATTAAATTTAATTAATCAAGTATTTTTAACTAATCAATAAATCAATACTAAAATTAAATTTAATTAATTAATCAAAATTGCTAATTTAAATTAACTAATCAAGATTACTAAAATTAATTTAATTAACTAAAATTACTAAGTTAAATTATACCCAAATTACTAAAATAAATTCTGAGAATTTAGTTCATAATAACTCTTATTCCAAATATATATATATATATACCTTTAATAATCATATATAACTACAATTCATAAACTCTTTTAACTTAACTAAAATTCAATTCATAGTTCCTAATAATAATAATTTTTAACAAAATCCTCCAAATCAATCTGCAGAATCAATAGCCAAGGGTTTCAATCTATACATTAACTCAATTTATACTTTAATCCCTTTAACTAGAATTAGAAACTTATGAATTCAACCTAAAAAGAGTCAGAATACAGCTTACCTAGCTGCAAACGAGCTGAAAATCGAAATTTTCTGGTTAAAATGACCGTCAGTAGTTCTAACGCTTAAAACCCAGTTCTGTTGGCGTTAGCTTGATCGAAGCTAGGGCAGATTGTGGTAGGTGAAGTTGCTAGAAGGGAAGGAAGAGCTCAAACGGCCGATCCTTGGTGGTCGGAGGCGTGCTGAAGGCGGCAAGACAGTGGCGTAACAGATCCGTTGAGGCGCGATGCTTGCTCGATCGAAGGCAGAGGGAGGCTGGGTCTGCTCATGCCGCGCGATCTGATCCAAGGAGTTGGCAGAGTCGCTGACGGAGCTGCTGCGACGTCGAGTTACAGCGAGGAGCGACAGCGGAGTGGCGGTGATGCGCGGCTCTGCTGCTCTGCCCCTGTCTCCCCAAAAACGCAGGCGCAATGAAGAAGAAAGGAAGAAAGAAAGAAAGGAAAGGAACAAAAGAAAAGAAAGGAAGAAGAAGAGGAGGAGGTGGCGCGGTGGTGGCAGTGCCGATGGCGGCGGAGGTGAAGTCGCCGGTGGTCAAGAAACGCAGGAACGGGGGGAGGGGGAGTTGAAGTGTGCTAAAAAAAATTAGCAGGAAAAAAAAGAAATTTCCCTAGGGATGGGTTTGCAGGTCGAACCGGTTCGATTCGGTTAAGATTCGGCGCCCCAATCCTTCGATTTTTCGGACTTGGTTTACGGCTTTTCCCAATCGGTTTTTGATTCCGATTTTCTCACATGCACAGTGCTCGTACTAAAATATTACTATGAATTTTCCAGGCTGTCGGTTTATTAAATTTAAATGAAAAATCTTTAAAAATAAAAATTCGGGTTATTTCATGCATAAATAAACAGATTTTTATAATTAAAATTTAAATTAAAATATTTTGAGAATTCTTTTTTTTATTATATATTATTTTTTAAAATTTTAAATAATTAATTATATTTAATAAGACAATATATAAATAAATACATAAATAAAAATATAGATTTTTATAATTAGAATTTATATAAAAATATTTCAATAGTTCTTCTTTTATTGTGTATCATTTTTAAAAGTTCAAATAATCATTATATTTTTTGAGATTTTTAATACATTTAATTATAAAAAATGTTTGATAATAATAATCATTCAACTAAAACATAAATAAAAACAAAATTCTGGATGTTCTCTCTTTTCATTTTTTTATTTCTTTAGAAATTTTTAAAATTTTATTTTATTTTTATATAATTTGATTGGATCTCGAATATATTTTTAAAATTTATTTATTTTAAAATTTATTTATATTATTTTAATTGATATATAGATTATTATAGTTTTATAGTTTGAAATTATTAAATTATTTTATTTTATTTAATTAATATTTTTAAGTTATTACATTTAGATAATAGAAGTAACCAAGCGCGAAGCGTGGATCAATGACTAGTATATATATATAATCTTGAAATAAAAAAAACTTTACAAAGCTAACCTCGCACTCTCATATTTGAGTATTGTTTTTTCTCTTTTTTTATAAAATTTATAAATTTATAATAATTTTTAAGCATTTATTTTTCCTTTTTTCATAAATTAATATTTGAAATCTAAACTAACCGTTGAATTTAACAATGATAATGATAACTTTTGAAATTTAAAAATTTTTATAACATTTCCATCTTTAAAACGTAAAAATTTTAAACTACTTGTCATCAATAACATAAATTTTCATATTCATCAAATAACCATAAATTTTCATATATATATATATATATATTATATATATATATATATATAGAGAGAGAGAGAGAGAGAGAGAGAGGAGAGAGAGATGAGAGGAGAGAGAGAGAGAGAGAGAGAGAGAGCTCGAGCTCAATATGGTTTGATTTTTTGGTAGAGATTTTATTCATTATTTTAGTTTTGCATCGTTTACTATACGCAAAGCTAAGATATATACCTTTAAAAATCCAAAAGCTTTTGAGTGGCAAGTATTCTGGAATTCTAGAATATATTACCATGGATATAAACAAGTTTAATTTTAGCTTTTTGGCTCTTGAAACTTGAAAGTTAGAGATATTTCTGCCATCGCCACTAATTGCTGCTCTAATTCTCAAGGGAAGGATTTTCATCCAATTTTTAGCTCAAATCATTTTGCCGTAAAGCAAACAAAAAGTAATTGCCAAAGGGTTACAGGAAAGCCATATAATATTCAAATGTGATAATTTTGATAGGGAACAAAGTATATGCTTAATCTATTTTTTTATTTAATTATTTTTTCTATAGGTTTTCTTTAATTTGTATTTTGTGTGAATATTTTAATCTAACTGTCTATAATAGTGATAACATTTTGTCTCACAAAATTCAACACTTTCTTTTCAAATAATTCCAATCGATAATGAATTAATTCGTAAAAGGATGGTACATCCTTTGATAACTCTGTTATCTTTATATGTTGCCTGTTTGAATTTTCATGACTGATTTTATTGGCTAACAAGTTTCAAATAATGAATTTAACATTATTTAGCACATTCCAATAATGATTGATGACTGATTCTTGTAAATTTTAAGTTTTTGCATATTAAATTTTTTTTTTTAAATATTGATGATTCTTAAGTTAGAACGCTTTTTTTTAAATATTGATGATTCTTAAGTTAGAACGCTATGGCTTTTCTTTTCTTTTTTTTTTTTTTAATTGAAAGAGAAGAATTATCATATATTATCTCAAGGAAAAGTAATCCATCATACATTCGGACACTAAATTTCAAATATGAACACGATTAAAACGATAGGACGCTCTAGCTAAGCAATGAGCACCTATATTATCGTGTCTTTTAATCCAACGAATCTTGACTAATGGAATGGAGGCTAATAACAAAATGCAATCAATAACAAAATGCAATCAGAAATAACAATACCCAACTCACTCATATCTCTAATATTTGATGAAAGAGCATTAAAATACTTTGAGAATCTATTAGAATAGTACCCGCACCCCGAATATGCCGAGCTATAAATTGTAAAGTGAAGCGCAGAGCCAAACCTTCCGCCATAAGTGGAGATGGCTGACCTTCATAGAAGCTGGAAATAGCGCGCAAAAAATATTCTTCATTGTCTTCAAAAACGGCCCCTATACCCGCTGATCGTATATTAGAAAAAATAGCAACATCCACATGGCAAGTCCACTCTCCCAGATCGGTAATAGCAGGTGTTACTTGCGAAATTTGTACCTGAGGCATTTGCGGCTTTACCAAGGCATTCTTGAAGTCTTGAAAAAGACAAGGCATTCTTGAAGTCTTGAAAAAGAATAGAAGTTGTAGCATTAACATTCAAAGGAGTCCAAGCCATTTGTTGCCAAAGAAATTTGTTCCTAGCATCCCACACACTCCATGCAACATAAGAGATAAAAGCTAACTTTTCGGTATTATTTTGCTTCAAGACCTGCAAATAAAGAGTTTAAAAAGAAAAGTTAGTAGAAGCTTCCTCCACCCTATACACCTTCCAAACCTCCAACACCTTGGTGCACAATAATAATGCATGATCAACATCCTCCTCCAAATCACAATAAGGGCATATAGTGTCCACATTCACACCCCTTCTGCTCAATCTCCGTCGAGTAGGCAATAAGTTACGCATAGTTCTCCAAATGAAATCTCTGACTTTTGGGGCAACATTCAACTTCCAGATACTCCCCCACCCCTCACCTTCTACACTTTCAGCACCCCTTCCCAACACCCTCAAGACAAGGTAGTAACAAGATTTAAGACTAAAATTACCCTTCTTATCGTAATGCCAAATCAGCTCATCTTCCACATTTCTTACAGTAAGGGGAATATCAAGAATAGTGTGGATATCTCTCAAAGAAAAAAGATTAATAATCTTTACCACATCCCATTTCCTCTCCCCCTCCACCAAAAGATCTTTCACTAGGAGATTATTATCAATAAAGAGACTACCATCCTCCACATAAAAGACTCCATCAATGGCCCAACATAAAAAGACCCATCAATGGGGTAACCAAAGGGTCCTCACAACCAGAAATACGCCTAAATGGGTAACCAAGGGTCCTTCACAACAGAAATACGCCTACCATTGCCAACCCTCCACCTAACTCCATGTTTCAAGATCATGTTAGAAGACATTATACCCCTCCAGACAAAACTAGGGTGATGACCCGTTTGTGCATCAAGCAACCTCCCATCTCGGAAATATTTAGATTTGAAAAC